TAGTAATTGATAGACATCTCATAACGTTTCCATGCTCTTGTACGGTCCCTACAAATAATTATAAAATTCGAAGTGGGATTGTAAAGATAGTCCAGATTGGTGTGTTTGGTGACTTCCATGCTATATCGAAGAAATTAATCAGATTGTGACAGAAAGCAGGATTTGCCTTTTTTATCTTTTGACTTGTGTTGATGCTTTAGGTTTCTTATCAACAAAGTATTTCTAAAGGTCAATTTTGAGGATTGGAAGAAAAGAGCCATGTTCTGTCGGTCGAGCTTTTCCTATGCTTCATCATGAAGCCATTTTGGAAATATACCAAGGAAAAGCAGTGTCCCCCGTGACTCATTACAATCCATCCTTTTATACGGGAATGGTTTATCGGAAAAATCCATCATTTTGAAGCATCTGATTCGCAAGGCTGCTTCATTTTTCAAACACCATGAACAAGCATCTGTCCATCTCAATCATCTGATTGATGATAGTGGAATTCAAGCCAAGCTTTTCACTAATGTATAAATCGATGGCTACACCAACTCAGCACATGTCAAACGTGGCCCCAGCGCAAACTATCTATATAAATCTTCTCTTTCTTTGAAAAATGTGATCCAGAGGGAAACCCAAAAATGAAATGCAAATTTCTAGTTATGGTAGGCGATTTAAGCTGCTGGATCGAGAGATCTCATCATTAGTACTGCTGGGTATAGCTCCATAATCCAGAACAAGGCTTAGAAATCTTGTCAAAAATTGTACAAGTCACGTGCAAGTTGAACTAAACCCATAAAAGAACGATCCAATTAAGTGAAAGAATCTTGGAACCAAGGGAGAATGAATCTTGGAATCCTATATAACGTATATTATAATTCAGTTAAGTACTGCTACCTATTATCATTGTAAGTGCAATAATAACCTTTTCTCTCAGAGTAATTTAATCAGGGATAACAAGGAGCGCGCACAAGTGAGTGCAAAGAGAAAACAGCGAAATTAAGTGACTCAATGTATCTCCAACAAGTGCTTAGTACAAATCCATGCTAGAGGCAGAGATTGAATAGGAAATATATATGCTCTTCTCCGAAACTAAAGGCTTCTAATGAACATCGGTGCAAATAAATTTGACAATTCAAACAGACAATGTCGACCTAGAAATGTCAAATTCTAATCTGTTCATTTAGTATTTAGACAGTTGGATCGATATAAGTCCTCGTTCACAATCAGAGGTGGAATGCTCCACGTTCCAAGAGGGTGTCCTGAAACCTTCCCACCTGAAAATCCCAGAAGTAATACATAAGTGCAACCTGGACAAAGATGGCCAACTTTCAAATTGAACATTTCCGTGTTGGCAAATTACCTTCTTTAGTGGCTTCTTCACATCTTCTCTTGTATTTCAAGGACAGCTGAGGATCCAAAGTTTTCAATAAATTGTCATACCCCTCTTCACAATCTGTTACGTATTTTGCCTGAAATAAAACATTTTTTTTGTCAACCGGAAAAAGAAAAAGAACAATTTGGTGTAAGAGTTCATATGTGAGCCTGGTCTTTTTGAACAGTGATGAAGTTAGAAGATAATTCAGTAATAGAATCAACACATTCAATTAATGAGGTGTGAGATTAAAAGTTGTTTTAAGAAATGCTTTTCAAAAAATATAAAAAGTTGTGTTAAGAATCAAGGAGAAAACAAAATTCTCTGATCAGTCCATGTGTTAACATCACACTAGACAAGTATTATTCCATGTGAAGAAAGCAGGAATTTCACCATGCAGTCAAATCTTTCAGCCTACTGAATTTCTTTCCAAGAGTGGTCTCATACTCACCAGCATAGCTGGGGCTGTAGAAGGTCCGTATACTTTGGCAAACATTCGCAAAATATTGAAATTATTTTCTAATACGTCATCCTAAAAGGAAGCCACAAAATTGTAAAAACCAAATGGATAAATTAAATGGAATCAAGTAGTCAGAACTACGAAAAAGTATCAAAAAACAAAGTACCTCATAGTCAAACCTGGAGCATCATTATATCATCTGGAGGTTGAGTAAAGTTCACACCATACTTGCAGCATATTATTTTGAAAATGAGTGATAACATCAGTTACCCCAACAACAATGAAAGAAAAAGAGACCAAAAGCAGTTGAGCATTGAGTGTCTTGGAGCACTTGTGCAGGCTCCATTGGAGTAAACATGCACACAAGGGGAGACTTGTACGCCTTTTATGCATTTACCAGCCCTCTTGAATAGCCAAAAGTATGCTGCTGCTAATGTACATTCCCAGTTTGGCCAAAGCTATACAGCTTTATACACATTTCTTTGACTAAAAATTACTAGATCCAAAATGGAATGTGTCTATACTGTTTAAAACCACTTAAATCTAGGTAAACTTAGAAAACAGAAAGGAAAAACACTTACAGATCATCTGATATTTCTACCAGGAATTCAGAGACTGATAGGAATTCCATGTGCAAGTCATTGACCTTAACAACTTCAAAGAAAATACAATTAGCCTCATGTAACGTAAGTTACCAAAAATGATTTATAGAATGCATGACATTAGATATATCATGTTAAAGACTTAAAAGTTATGGAGACATCTTGACATCATTTTGTAACATATGAATATAGACTGCAGATTTTTTAAACTCCTTCAGAAGTTCAGTTCCGCTCGTTGTTTAAAGATTGAAAATGAGAAGCCATTATCACAAAAATAACTGTAAGGCTGAAACTGTAATGCAAGAATTAATGTATGTGCCTTTGCAAAAGTTCATAAAAAGCAACATAGCAAATAATAACATCATGGAATTGTCACTTTATCAAATCTGAAAGAATAACATGGTGCTTTAGACATTTCCTTTTTCCATCCCCCTTTTACCCAACACTCTGGTAGAGCTTTCAACTTAGATCTTAGAAATAGGAATGCTAGAATGCAAGTATGGTGCAAAAAACCAAACAGTGGTATGTACTTGCAAAAGATGCAAAGGTATAAACATGGTAATAACAGATTACCTCTTCTCCTCTTAACTGATATAGGAGAAGATTCAGCACCCGATAGTCAAACGACTTTAGATGAATTGCCCTCATGACATCTTCGATGGAGATCTGGAAAAGCAAACAATTAATCCCTAAATATTTCTCCAGTGCATGATTTTCCTCCTCTCACTTTGTCTTCTACACCCTTTCCATTTGAAGGATAAAATTCTTTATCCATTAATTAATCAAGCACATAAGTCAGTGCTATTATTAAACAGTTACCTAGGTCTTCTTGTATTCCAGAATATTTGTAGAACCTCAAGCAGGGTTTGCATGCATTTACTGAAAACTAGTTGAACATTTACACAGAAAGGTTTTTCTCTCTTGACATCAATAAGTCAAAACAAACCAAAGTTCATAAGCATCAGGATACACTTTGCTCAACAAGCTATGAGAAAGCAATGTTAAAATCAAAGATCTATTGGTTCAATACGCTTTAAATGTCAAAAGTTGGAGATGCTACTGGTGCAGGGTCATGTGAATTATAACATTGAAAAACATGCTAGGTTAATGGTTATATCTTTTCTTTTTTGAGCATAGAAGATTTATCAGTATGAGTTTGATGTTTTGAAATTGAAAATTCTGCTGAAACACAATGCTGATGAACATCAAGAAGCCAAATGAATAAGAATAAATGGTACCAGGGAATTATTGTACCTTTCGTAGCATACGATGAAGTTATACTGTTATTTTCTGTTCTGTTTAGATGTAAAGGATAACAATTCCAAAATCAATACTAAAGGTAGACAAAACAATTATCATTTTTCTAATTTGGTTATACGTAATAATAAACTATGAACATAATTAACTTAAGTGAAACAATAAGGACAAAGGAGGTATATGTACCTCCATTTTGCACATTAGTGCAGAACATAGCTTTCTTTCCAGAGCCCAGTACTCTTCTCCGGACTTAAATTCTTCTCTGATCCTAAATCCATTGCACAAATACAAATCAATTACATAAGTCTTTCTACCCCCGGCCCCGTTTCCACAAAAGGAAATAAAATAGCAATACCATAAAAAAGGTTACCTCTCAGTAAGGAGTCCCCGGCATTTAAGTACATTTAAAAGTGGTCTGAATGGATCCTTTTCAAACACATTCATAGCCCAACCCTGGAATTTTACAAGTACCACTGAAAGAATTTAATTCGACAATGGAAGTTGATAACCTCTGAACTAGTTCTCCAGATCTCAGTATTACCTTCTCAAGTTCTTTTTCTGGAGTGGTAACTCCTTCCATTGGTATATACAGTATCTTCTCATTCAAACCATCTAACTGCACAAACAAAATTATGGGTGCTGAGAAAAGGAAGAAAAACAGTCATGGTATCAGATCATTCAAAATTGAGTGGTTGCAACCTTACATGTCATGTTTCCAACAGTTAAGAGATAAATCCTTACTTATAGAATGCCCTTTACAATGGACGTAGAACGAGTGGAAGGAATGGAAGCCAAGGCAAGGCTCATTCCTTCTTGGTGAGAACATTACTATGACCTAATGGAAGTATACAAGGGAAAGAAAATTCACCCAATTCCTACATCAACTTCCAAATGCCATTGCTTTGAAGGCCATACAACTAGCTCCAACAAATCAATAGAAAGTCATGCAATATTCTTACATTAATGTAAAGATTACTCTAAAAATGACACTATTTATTCAAATATTAACTGTTACCTGATAAATGAAGCTTTCAGTAAATGAAAGGACAGGGAAATATTTGAATATCACTTGCGGGCTGGTTATGTCGATTCCATGAAACATAAAATAAGATCTGCACTGCAAACACAATCATAATATCATTAATTGAGATCATGAAATAGAACAAGTTTGCCTGCAAGCATACTTAAAATTATCCCACCATGCTAAATAACATGCCTATTTGTTCATTCATTCCTTCACCCATTAAATTATATTAATGCATCCAATGAACATTAACACGTATAACACAATTGCAGATAGTGATATAAAGCTGTATAACTAACCACCACCAAATAATTTTTTTTTTTGTTTTAACTTTGAGTGCTTACGAAATCCTCAAGTGTAGAATTTGCCCGTTCCATTGCTTCAAGTCCCACCATTGCTACATCCTCATGGTTTATCTGCAATGAACGGCAATCCGTCTTATCGGGCGGATTATTAAGCTCAACATAATTCTCTTGAGAATCTGCAAAATAAAAAGTTTCAAAACATAAAGTCCAGCGCTTTATAAACCAATTAAAAATTTTTAAAAGAAATTAAAGTTGACCTCTTTCATCAGTTTCCAAAGCAACCCATTGTGATGCTTCTTCCAAAAAGGTGACTGAAATCTGCAATTTCGAAAACAATTAGCAAAAAGGGGGAAGTAAGGAAACTAATCATTAATGAGAAATGAGAACAAACTTACTTTTGGTATATATTCAGAAAGTAAATTGCACTTGTTGTCTAGATTCAGTTCACCGCATGGTTGTAACTACAAAAGGGTATCAATTAATCTTTCGAAATTCTAGTTAAAATGTGGTGAAAAGTAAGAGAGAGAGAGAGATTACTAAGAGAAGTATGAGATTGGCGAGAAACCGATTAGAGTCAATAGATGAAGAAGAAACAAAGCTACGCGATTGCAGGAATGTAAGAGTTCTTTGGAGTTGTTCTAGCTTCCTCAATTCTTCCATTCCTTCTTTGCCTGCTCTGCCTTTGGTCTTCTACAAATATTTAAAGTTCTTACAATGCAGCAACGACGGCGTTTTTGGGACCGGCCGCTTCAGATTAGATACCAACCCATCTGGCCTTTTTACTTTTTCATGCAGAATGAAAAATCCTATATTTTTGTCATTCATAAAAGTAAAACCTTTTACTATTACATATATATATATATTTCAGGTTTTGCTACTATTTTTATTTTCGAAATTAAATAAAAAACAAGTTTTTTTCAAATTATTAAGAATAGTATTAGGTTCAAGATAATCTTTAAATTATATGGTATAATAATTTAGTCTAATCATAATATTATATGACGTACTTTGTCAAATCCTAACATAATTGATATGAACTTCAGACAACCGTATTTCAAAATAAAGAAAAAAAATATTGTTCAACTATCTTTTATTAGTCAATTTTAATTTTTAATTAGACTTTAAATTTTACTACTTTAAACAAAATTTAAAAATCGTGACATGATTTTTAAATTGGAATCAAGAATCGATTATATAAATTTTAAAATTACAAGTCTCATTGTTACCTAAATGCTTAATTCGGAAATTTAGATACAAAATAAAGAAGAAATTAAAGTTTATATATACCTAATATATATGCATATATTATAAAAATATCTTTAAAATATCCTTTTAAGACCATATGATATATCAAATGACCAAAATACCTTTTGAGTTAAATAGCATATTAAATGATATTTGTAAATCTAAATGACATAACAAAATCATTCCTAAGACCATATGACAATAACATAATTATTTCTCAAATTAAATGACACAGCTAGACATTTCCTAAACTGCAGGGTATCGCATAGCAAAAACATTTAGCAAAGTAAGTAAACATGAAAATACACTTAACTTTCAAATTAAAGTATACTAAGAGTGCAATACCCAAAAGGAAAATAGGGCAAAGAGATTAAGAAAAGGGTAATTAGCTCGCAGGGCTGGTACGCATTAAAAAGGCTGCCAACAAGATGTACAAGAAAACTATTTTTGAATATTTTACTATAAATTAAAGAAAATAGAACCAAAACAAAAATGGTATGATTACCAGAATACCATGCAAAGAAGAATTACACATACAAGTTAAGCACATAAAAGCCACTTCTTTCGCCTTGGCATGTTTCTATGCTCAACGCAGAATTAGCATGTGTCCCAATTTATTTTATTGTTTTTATCCCTTTCTAGCTCTTCGTCCATGTTCAATTAGCAGGGCTGCAGGGGACAAGAAACAAGGAGATTCTCAGGAATGTTTATGCCCAAGCACGGCTCTGCTGGCATCTCTGGGAGTCCAAGTGCCTTAAAAACAGAAGGATCAGACAAACTGGTATCACGGCTGTTAATTACATACACCTGCTGCTTCAAAATCTTATGCTCTGTCATTGCCAGATCCCTTGCTTGTACCTAAAGGTTGAGTCTGATTGATTTCCATTTGATTCACCTCCTCAGTCAGATTACAAGCTTGAACTGTATTTTTCTCTTGACTAGGTTCCCGCTTGTCTTCAAACAACTTCCCTGACTTTCCAATTGCAAGGATTAACTCAAGTTGTTTTCCCTGTTGCTCCTACAGAGTACATTTAAATATTTGAAGTTAAATTACTTTCAAAAGACAGCAACAACTACACAACAAAAACCATATATTTAATTAACCATTAATTAAATGTTGATAAACCAAAAGCCACAAGCAAGTATTATTATTACCGAGTAATAATTCATCTGAATACTAGTGAAGACAACAACAAGGTTTCAATTGGTACAATGATTCTAAAACAACATGCATGCAATCCAGGTTTCTTGGCTTAGAATCACAGCTCATGAACTTTAAATTGGTTTTAGAGAGGCTTAAGGCCTCTAAATTGGAGAACACACTTTTTGAAACGTTCAAAAGTTAAAATCATCCTCAAAGACATAAAAATGCTTGACCAGTATATACTCGTTTAAACCCTTAAATCAATACACAGTACAAGAAGATTGTAGCTCTAGACGCCCTATTATGGAACTCCTAGTAAATCAACCTGAGCATCATATTCCTTACGACTTCAGAAAATTAAAAAAGTCCATTCATGTAATTAAACAATGCTAAAATGTTACCTGCATTGCGAGCAAAACTTTCTGAATTTCACCAAGCTCCTTTTCTAGGATGTCTTCTTGCACTGCTAATGCTCTAGTAGCCTCAGAATTCTTTTGAGCCAAAGCTGCAGTCTTCAGACACAGAAAATGGTTAGAAGTTATAAACATAAAAATCACAATAAATTAGTAAACACAATTTGTTATCAACAGTTTGTCTTCCCATTTACTCAGCAGAAAGTGCGCATAAGATCTTCAATATTATCACATTGGAGCTACGGCTAACATTGCTTTATGAATTTTGTCAAGTCAAACACCAGGTTACATAGACAAATGATGACACAATTAAATAGAATTGTGAGAACATTTGCCTTTGTAAAATGGATTGACACTGGGACTCAACAATACGAAAAGGCTTTTGAACACACACACACACCATTCTTCTTGAATAACAAACCTTCATCAAAGTTTCCAGTCTACCACTGTAACTCTATTGTGAATGTGAACTTATTTATAGAAGTGAGATTTGTGTTTTGCAAAATTACTTAGCTCCACATTAGCACTCTTAACGAATTGACCTGTTTTACTTCAAGTAGGTATTTCCTTTTATATCTTCAGCTGCCTTGAATATGCTCTTTTTATTCTAACATAGTCACCTTGACTTTGTTTAATTGCCAGCTTATATATCTGGAGCACTCTTCTTATATAAGTTGTTTTGTGATATGCCACATTTTATACAACTAGAGCACCCTAGGCATATTCTAACATTATGAAGTTGCTTCAGTGCCTGTTCTCATAGCTCTATCTTTCTTTCTTTCTTCTTCTTAATCTATATTTTAACAGTTTCCTACTTAAAATCTTTCACACTTCACAAAATTATACCTAAATTTAAGGGCTAGTAAGAAAGCCACTGAGAGTAAATAATAAATAGCAGCTTGATGAAATTAAAATGGTTTTTTTTTTTTTGTTGATAAGCCTAAATTAAAATGGTTATTAGCTTGGCATGTCACAGTTTTATTGAACATTCAATTTAACTTTTTGGATGAGTTGCCATTTCTCTATGACTGTCTCAAAGAAAATCCGAGATAGTAATGATTAGCGATTTCCAGTGTATAATTAAACAAGCTACTGAGAAGCATCCACACTTGACTATTCAGGACTTTCGTCAATATCCTTATAAACATTAAGCTAAATATAAAAAATTAGAAACCATTCTTTATTATTGTTCTCAATCTCTTCAAGTCCTTCAATTCTCTAACTAAAATCTTAATAGTATCAAACCAAAACAAATGCTTATATATTATTACCTCAGCAATAGGCTCTTTCAAAGCTTTCCTCGTAACGCGAAACCGAATCCCCAACTTCTCAAGTTGCCTAGACAAAGCTCTTATAATCGTAGTGGAACACCTCAAATCCTCCTCTAATTTCTCAATCCTCCCTACTAAATTCAAATTTTTTCCTCCTCCACCACCCTTCACCGTTTCCGCACAAATCCTCCGCCACTGCCGCCTCCTAATCCACGCCCCAATGGCAACCCCACTTACCAATCCAACAATTCCCCACACCATAACCTTCCTCCAAATTCCACCCAAGACGACACCTTTCCATCCCGAAACGGCACAAACAACCGAACCAACAGCTGAAGAAAGAATGCATAAAAATTCAGCGATTGAGAGAAAAGAATCTAAATTGAAATCATTAAAATTAGGGTTTTGTTCTTGTGAGGCGGCAATTGAAGAATCGGATTCGTAGGCTTTGAGAAGGGAATGGGAAGAAGGGTGGGGGGATTTGAAACTGAGAAAATTCCGGGTCCGGAAATGCAAAATTTGGGAATTGGAGAAGGTGAAGCTGAGATGGCTGAAGGTGATTGGAGGAAACGACTTAGGGTTTTGCAGATAAGGGTTTAAGCGAGGAGACGAAGGAGTGAAGAGGTTCTGAAACGCGATTGACATTGTCGTGTTCTGGAGTTAAAGGGTATCGTATTGGTTTCCGTTAGGGTTTGCGGTGGATTTGAATTGAAGGGGAAGACATTGCTAGGGTTTTTTGGCGAGAGAGAAGGTCGATGGCGATTGGTGGCGATGAATTCAATGGTTTTGGGCGCGGAGGTCTATCCGCTTACGTTAGCTTAGGTAAGTTGAAATGAGGTTAAAGTGCGCCAGGAAGGAATTTGTTGGGTGAACTTTGTGCAATCGCCATGGCTATAGGAGCCGTGTTTTTCGTTTCTTTTTCCCATTCCTATTGGATTTTTTTTGGGAGATAAACAACAGGGCTTGGGCATCAGGAAATAATACAAAAGCCCAAGGGAATTATTACAGCTTAACAAGCCCATGATAAAAAAAGGTGATGGGCTAAAATTTTGAATATTCAGACGCACTAACAATCCAACCCAAAAAATCAATAAAAATAAAGAAACAAAAAATCAAAAGTGAATTACTCTCATGAAATAAAATTGTTTTCGTTTTTGAATACTACTTTTATGTATTATAGATTTAAAATTAAATTTTTTTATTTTTTGAAATTTTAAAACATGAACATCAATATTATAAAAAAAATTAAAATTTTTTCTATTAAAATATATATGTATTTCTTAATTGATAGAAAAGTTACTACACTATTTACAAATATTCATATAAGTTTTATTCTTTTATTAGATTTATTCAAGTTTTTGTATTTTTATTTTGAAATAAATAAGATTTTATAATTAATTTTTATTAGTCAAAATACCATTTGTCATTCAATACCATGCAGAGTTGATATGACATATTGATATGTAATAGTAGATGATAACATGATACGTTGATATGACATAATGACAAGATTATGTAACATTTTTATTATTTACATCTACGTCATATGAGTAAAAAATAATATATGATATTTTGACTAATAATAATTAATTAATCATTAATCATAAGAGCTTATTTGATTTAAAATAAAAATATATAAACTTAATTAAACACGATAAAAA